GGGGGGCAGGCAGGAGCTGCATTAAGACACTAGACGTCACTAAGGTCACAACCATGTCTTTGGAGTTTTATTACTGATGATGATGCCTATTAAAAGAATTCATGTGGACTGTCAGAGCCTATTTTAGATCATTCTCGCTGCCTGTGTGCTGCGCTGCGGCTGTATGCGCGCATGGGCATTTATTGGCCAAATTATCGGCCACTTCAGGCCAATTTCCAAAACAGCCAATTTTCTTAATATTGGTACCAATCCACTATTGGACAGATGCATCAGTGCACCTCTAAAATTCACCCTTATGTGACTGGTGTGGTGGAAGCCCAAAGTCAGCTGGTTTGTGCAGGGCATTGTGGGAGTGACACACACCAGAATACAGTCTCCTGTGTGGACCTGTGCTCCTTGCTCATTGTCTGCGACATGTTTCTGTAGTTGCCATCCTCATAGTAACATTCACCACCACCCTGCGCTTGTGTGTACTGTCTGCTATTGGCGAGTACCAAAATTGTCCTGTAAAAGTGGTAGAAATAGGTCTGGAGGTCAGTATAATAGAGGTCTTGGAGCATACCCCTATTTGTTACATTGTAACATGGATTTCCTTTATGCAAATTCAAGTTATGTGCCCTTCTCCAGGAATGCATATACAGCATAAAACGAGGGAAACCTGTACAAAAACCAACCAACTGCCACAGCTATCTTCATGCCACCAACTCTCATCTTAGAGCACACCACTAGATTCATCATCTAAGCCAAGCTCTGTTACAACGATATCTGCTCTGAACCCACTAACTGGAATGAACCCCTTAAGGATCTGGAGCAGATTCTTATAATACAATCCCAAAACTGTGGCCACTCAAATCAACAAAGCCAGACTCAAACCCTGCTCCAACCTGCTACAATACCAACGCAGGACAAGGACAACAGAATCCCTCTGGTTGTCACCTAGCCATCAGCTTGAACAACTCAGACACACCATGATGGCCTCCAACCCCTCCTGGAAAAGGATGATGGTCTCAACTTCGAAGACAAACCTGTCCTGGCTTACAATCAGGCCCTGAACCTCAAATGGTCTCTCTCAAACACCAGACTAATGAACTCCCATCCTTCCCAAGGCACCATGCCTTGCAATCAGCTCATATGCCTACTGTATCAGCACATCAATACAAAGCACATCAGACAAGAGCCAATAACAAGGGGCATCTTTACATGTGCTCTCAGAGTTGCTCTAATTGAAGCACCCACAGCATCTCATGTATTTAGCATCCCACACTTCAGAATGGTGGCAGGGACACATTAACTAAAGCTCATAAAGTGCCCCTGCCTCCATTCTGAAGTGCAGGGATGTTGAACGCACGTGACACAGAGGTTGCTGGAGCGTGCTAATTAGCTACACATCTTTACTGGATTAATCAAGTCTGCTCTGACACATGCAAATTAGCACACGTCAGATATGCATATAGGTACCCAAAGGAGTACAACAGCCAAGGTTCATTCACCTATAACTTACAACACCCAGCTGTTGTCTACTTAGGACGGACAGGGCCACGAATGAACACCAGGGATCCTGGTTTTCTCCAATTAAAAACTGCAAATTCTCTGGTTAAAAACCCAAAATCCCTAATAAAAATTAAAGGCTCCATAGCCTCTCCCAGTGCTGCTGGTGCCCTGCACTCCCCTGCACAGTCTTAACAGCCCTCCTGATGCCCCTCACAACAGCCCCCCAGACCACAGACATGCAGACACAGCCACAGCCACTGACACCCACCCCAGCAGATAAGTGTGTGTGGGGGGAAGGGGCGGGGCAGGGCAGGGAAGGTGCTGGGGGAGTAGATCAAGAAGGGGGGAGTGTGCCCCTGTGCCCACTCCCAGGAGCAGGGCCAGAGGGTGAGGTCAGGGGTGCCACTCGGAGGGCCACACACATGCCGGCCGGCTTAACAGGAGGTTCGCACACAGAGACCGCCATCGCAACTCTACCACTGCGCCCTGTGCTACCATCCCACAGCCACCTGAATGGTTTTGTGGGCAAGTGGCGCAGGGAGCAGCAACAGCAGTGCGGTGGCAACCACTGTGTGCAGACCACATAGGTGCCACCCGGCCGGGGGATGAAACAAGGGGGCTTGCATGCAGTGACATGCCCCACAACCGGCTGCATGGCTTTGCGGCAGTGTGGGGTGGTGGCGGCTGCACGCAGGGTGGGGGGGCTTTGTGGGCAAACGCTGCCACCACAGAGCCATGCCCTTTGCCCCTGGATCCTAGAGGTAAGTGGGGCTTGGGGGCTGTGGGGCAGGGCTGGGGAAGATGGTTGGAGGCTGAGGGAGTGGGGGGTGCTGCCAGCCCCAGGCAGCACATCACAGCTGGGAGCAGGGCCAGGGGTGAGGGCAGGGTTGCTCCTCTTCAGGGGGCTTTGTGGGCAAGTGATACGGGGGGCAGTACGGTGGTGCCCTCCATGTGCAGGCCACACATGCCGCCTGGCCAGCTACCCAGGGGAGGAGGAGAGGGGGGGCTGGCATGTTGCCAGAGCATAGCTCCGTTGCCAACACTGGAGCCATGGTGAGGGCTGGGGCTTGGGTTAGCACACAGCAGCCACTGGCGCTTACTTGAAGGCCCATGATGGCGGTGATGGCTGCTGCCTCCCCAACTTCCTGCTGTTGCCGCGGAGCCGTGCCTGGAGCTGTG